CTCTTCTGAGGTAGAAGACTTGCCAAAATATTCTTCAAGTCCTGCGAGTTCATCTGCTGTGCAACCTAGCTTTGAGATTGAGGATGATGCAGCTGCAGGAAGTATAGAAAGACCAAGTGTTGTAACAGGAGGAGGGAAGAGAGGTAAAGGGCATAGAATCAAGAAATCACAGAGCCAAATCTTGAGGTATGCGTATAATCAGATCGAGAAGGAGAAGGCCAGGGAGGTAGAGAACAAAAACCTTACCTTTTCAGGAATAGTTAACATGGCTACTTACTCTGAGATGAAGAAGAGGACCCTCATGGAACTTTCTTTCAAAGATTTGACTCTTACCTTGAAGTCCAACGGTAAGCATCTGTTGAGATGTGTGACGGGAACCATGAAGCCAGGTCGAATCACGGCTGTGATGGGTCCATCAGGAGCAGGAAAGACAAGTCTTCTCTCTGCATTGGCTGGTAAAGCCGTTGGATGCAATCTGAGTGGTTTGATTCTTATAAACGGAAAGCAATTATCAATTCACTCTTATAAGAAGATTATTGGCTTTGTGCCACAAGATGACATTGTCCATGGAAACTTGACTGTTGAGGAAAACATTTGGTTCCATGCTAAATGCAGATTACCTGCGGAACAATCAAAAGCTGACAAAGTTCTTGTGGTTGAGAGAGTCATTGACTCTTTGGGGCTACAAGCTGTGAGGAGTTCTTTAGTTGGTACTGTAGAGANCAAAAGCTGACAAAGTTCTTGTGGTTGAGAGAGTCATTGACTCTTTGGGGCTACAAGCTGTGAGGAGTTCTTTAGTTGGTACTGTAGAGAAGAGGGGAATCTCAGGAGGGCAGAGGAAACGAGTGAATGTTGGTTTGGAAATGGCAATGGAGCCTTCAATCTTGTTCTTGGACGAGCCTACTTCTGGCTTGGATAGTGCCTCATCTCAGCTTCTTCTTAAAGCACTAAAGCATGAAGCCCTTGAGGGAGTCAATATCTGCATGGTTGTTCACCAACCAAGGTAATCAATCACAATCATACATGGGTCTGCGGGTTTAGGTAGTTCGCTTCGGGTAGTTCGGTTTTTGGTTAGTTCGGTTCAACAGAAATCTTGCCTAATTAATCTGAAATAAAGTTCGGTTCGGTATTCGGTTAGTTCGGTTTTATAAAAATCCTACCGAAGTTTTTGTTTTCAGTTATATTTTTGGTTTAGTTTTGTTAAGATTTCAGATCAGTTTGGTTACTTTGGTTTGAAATTTGGTTAGTTCGGTTTTGGAATGGTTTTGGTATAATTTATTTATTTTTTTTTTAAGAAAACCAAAGTATGGCCGAACCGAAACGAACCAAACTTTTCTAAAAACCTACTGAATTAAACCGAACTTACTGGTTAGTTCGGTTCGGTTCAAAATCCCAGCTCTGAGTCATACATGTCTAGAGGAAATGTCTTTTTAAGTGTCATGAAGCTTTCTAAGTTCATAACGTTTCTGTATTGCAGTTATTCTCTGTTTCAAACCTTCCATGATCTAGTACTTCTAGCGAAAGGTGGCCTTACTGTTTACCACGGACCAGTCAAGGACGTGGAGACATACTTCTCTGGTCTTGGAATCATTGTACCAGAGCGCATCAACCCACCTGACTATTACATAGACGTTCTGGAAGGGATTGTAACCAACCTGAACTCTGATGTTGGCTACAAAGAGCTTCCTCAAAGGTGGATGCTTCACAAAGGGTACTCAGTTCCATTAGATATGCGGAACAACAACAGTGCTGCAGCAGGACTTGAAATGAATCCAGACGTTAGAGATAGTACCAACGCTAATGCAGAACAGACATTTGTCAGAGAGCTGTGGGGAGATGTGAAGAGTAATTTCAGGTTGCGCCGTGATAAAATAAGACATAACTTCTTGAAGACCAGAGATTTGTCCTACAGAACAACCCCTTCTATGTGGCTGCAATACAAGTACTTCCTTGGAAGGTATATATAAACACTTTCTAGCATTATTAATCTTAATGACTATCTTAAGAGCTAAGTGTTCTTCATTTACAGGATAGCTAAGCAGAGAATGAGAGAAGCTAAATTACAAGCCACAGACTACTTGATCTTATTGCTAGCTGGAGCTTGTTTAGGTTCACTTATCAAAGCAAGTGATGAGAGCTTTGGAGCACCTGGTTATACCTACACTATTATCGCCGTTTGTAAGTTGGAAATTTTATTCCTTCCTTTTTTTAACAAGTTTCTTCATATTCTTTTCTTATTAGTCTTTCTTTTCTTCTTATGTCAGCTCTTCTGTGCAAAATAGCAGCATTAAGATCATTCTCACTAGACAAGTTACATTACTGGAGAGAAAGTGCTTCAGGGATGAGTAGCTTGGCTTGTTTCCTTGCCAAAGATACAATAGATTGTTTCAACACACTTGTCAAGCCATTGGTTTATCTCTCCATGTTCTACTTCTTCACTAACCCGAGGTCCACGTTTTTTGATAACTATATTGTCTTGGTATGCCTAGTATATTGTGTGACTGGTATAGCATATGCGTTGGCCATCTTCCTTCAACCTGGTTCTGCTCAGCTGGTGAGTTTTCATTTTGGTTTAAGAGAAAAAATCATATCCTCTCTGCCTTCGTCTAAAATTAACAAAAAAAATGTTGGGTGTTTTTGCAGTTTTCTGTTCTTCTTCCAGTAGTTTTAACACTTGTTGCAACTCAACCTAAGGATAGTGAAGCTATGAAGACCATAGCTGATTTGTGTTATCCAAAATGGGCTTTACAAGCATTTGTTATTGGAAATGCTCAAAAGTAAGGCCATACAATGCTTGGTTTAATTCATATATTGTTTGTTTTCTTATTTTTTGCTTTTGGGGTTACAGGTACTATGGAGTGTGGATGATCACTAGATGTGGATCACTAATGAAAAGTGGATACGACATTAATGAATGGAATCTGTGTATAATGATATTGATTCTCATTGGTGTGGTCACTCGTATGATTGCCTTTGTGGGGATGATTATACTTCAAAAGAGGTGAAGAAAAAAGGTGTTTCCATTAAGGTTTTAGTTTGCAGGGCTATGAAGCTTGGAGGTAGAGGAGAGAAGAGTTTCATGGTTCTGCGATTTGGTTATATTTGACCAAGAAGACTATATGTAGCTTTCTTTGTGTTATGCTATTCTTTGTTCATCTTAGTTCATTGTCTTGTTAGAAGGGTAACAAACCTTGTTCAGGTCTTTTGTGATTTTAATCTTGGTGTTTATACAAAAGATAGAGTGTTGCACGTTTAATTAGCTGATATAATCCCTTCACTCACTATTCTTAAGAGAGAGACTCTCTCTGAATTTAGACGTCCCCATCTCCAAAGCTTGGATGTTTCTTTCCTCTGTTTTGGTGATTGCAGGCAGCAACAAAACTAACTCAAGAGAAGGCGCATGCATGTATGTAACTGATAAGGTCATAACTAAAAGTCATAACCAGAGTAAACCAAGATTGACTTGGTTAGAGATGTGGATGTGGTATGTGTGTCCCCCACTCCTTCACGTTTCACAATTGTTCAGTAGGTAGTTATTTTATGTGCTTTTCTAATGTATTTAAGAGACTATTGCAGTAAACTTGGGGACTCTTATGAATTGGAAAGAAGAGAAAATTGCAGTAAATTTGTCTTTGAGAACCAAAGTGTTCTTGTTTTGATCAACATTGATTGCCCCATAACTGGGACCTGTTAGTAACCTATATTCTATGGATGGTGACTTGACTTATGTTTGAACAATGGACGATTTTGAGCCATTGCTATATAGGTTCAGTGTATAATTAAGAATGAGATGTTGTCTAGAAACCATTTACTCTCAAGTGTTTGAGACAACATAAATTGGTCTTTCTATCGTCTTCATAAATTCAGCTTTTCAAAACTCTTATGGTATAACCAGTCATATCAATATAGTAAAAACAATATACTCCAAAATAACGTAATGTCAAAACTACCATTGCCTTAACTAGTTCACTGATCTTCTTCACGTGGCAACTTGAAAGAACACATTGGACAAACACAACTAGTCTCATGGTCAAAGTCATGTCCACAAGTTGAAATCATAACTCTTGCTCCATTGCTAACTAAAGTTGAGCCGAGCCACTTCTTGCATAATCATCATAAAAAATAAGATCTAACTCCACACTTAGAATATTCACAAAATAAGTAACAAGTTGCTTCATTAAATATAGCAGCAACTTTTTAAAGTGATGATTATAAGCTAAGGTGTTTCTGAACCTGAGATATGATTAACTTAGTTAATGATCCATGATCACTATTAGCCCTTGGCAAAAACACGGGAACCGAAACATCCAAAACGGACCGAAATCCTCAAATATTCTAATGGTTCCTATATTTCTACGTATCCGTAAAATTGCACTGGAACCAGAACCGAACGAAGAATCGAACCAGTACCAAAATATCTGAAAAAACAAGTTTATGCTTTTTATTATAAGGTAAAATGACATAAAACTCACTTGAATGAGGTTGGACATGAAGAGTGAGAACATTAAACCTATTAGATCACATTACTTTGTCTTCTTTTATATTATAAATATATATGATATTTCTATATTAAAATACTTTAAATGTTTATAAAATTAACATTCGAACTCTTGTTGAATTAGCGAATATGTAAACGTATAAACACTAACCATTTAAATTAATATATTAATTATTATATTTTTTATATATATATATATTTCATTCACATATTAAACGGGTATCTGAAATCAAACCATAATCGAACCAGAACCATACCAAAATCTCATAAATTTCCATTGAGTATAGAAATAATTTATCTGATATATCCGGAACCAAATGGTTCATACTCGAAACCAAACCGAAATCCGGCTGCCTAATCACTATCAAAGAATAATGACTTGGCAAAAGTTGATTGGTGGCTGGCATTGGATTGAGAACCCTTCGAAGATGGTGTCCCTTTAATTGACAAAATCACTTTTTCTCCTTTATTTATCGAACAAAACATCACAAGCACAATGTCTCAATCATCAGCACCACCTAGATTCATCATCGTCTATCTCCAGCTCGGTCTTCATCTCCTTCGTCTCAAGATACAGAAAATTCTCATTTAGAAAAAAGGAAAGTTTACGACTTTGATTGACTTCGATGAAGGGTTTTGTCTGAATCGTCATTGAAGAAGAAGACAATGGGTTGTGCTGGATCCACACATTCGCAAGCAGAAGGTGAGATCTTTCATCAGCTGGATTTGGGCTGTTTGCTTAGAGGAGATAAAAAATGTGGACTTTCTATTTTTAGATGTGATTTTACTCTCACCCAATTGATAAGAGAAAAACCCTAGATTTATAAACCCTAGATTCTCCTGTCAAGTTTTGGATTCCGAATAAGGGTTTTCAGATAAAGCTAGTGTTCAGATGCATAACCTGATCCTAGAATACGTAACATTGTTGTCTCGGCTTCATTATGACTGGCTTCCTCTTATGGAAAGAAACTATGTGATCACTGATAGTTTTATGCGAATTGATTTCCCTTTAATTGAGCAAAAGTATGATGAGTAGTGCACATAGATTCAGAAAGTGGAGATTTGTTTTTTGTTTTTTGTAAGAGTTTTATTAACTTACTGGTTGTTTAATTTGTTAACAGGGTCAGTGAAGAAGATAAGGAAGCCGAAACTGTGGAAGCATACTCAACCGATCACCAAAGCTGAGCTTATGAAACTGAGAGAAGAGTTTTGGGACACTGCTCCTCACTATAGCGGTCGGAAAGGTAAAATTGAATACTTATTTCTTTGGCTTGCCTGGCTTGTTCGGGTCTTTTGAGTGATGTGCTTTCCATTTTATACAAAATAAATGAAGGATTTGTAGAAAAGTAATAGTAGTGATTAAGAGGAGGGAGAGTAAGTACAAAAAAGGAGATTTATCAGGACTCTACCGGGTTCTAACCGGTGACCTATTGATCTGCAGTCAATTGCTCTACCACTGAGCCAATAACCCATTTGTTAATTAGTAATGAGTGGACCTATAGAGAACATCTCGGAATAGAAATTGATTGAAGGACTTGTAAAAAGGGATGATATTAGTATTAGATGTTAGTGAAAATATAGATTTAGAAGGGCCCTACCGGATTCGAACCGGTGACCTATTGATCTGCAGTCAATTGCTCTACCACTGAGCTAAGGACCCGTTTTATGATTAGTGATGAGTTGACATATAGAGAAGATTTTGGTATTGGCATTGATTGGAGGACTTGTAAAAAGGGATGGATTAGTATTAGATGTTGAACAGTAGTAAAAAATAGATTTAAAAGGGCCCTACCGGATTCGAACCGGTGACCTATTGATCTGCAGTCAATTGCTCTACCACTGAGCTAAGGACCCTTGTGTTATTCCTCCTCACATGTGTTACATGAGGTTGAGAAATTTCATTTTTTGAACCATTCTCAACGGAGCTAAGGAACTTCATTAGTTTTTGTCAGTATCATCAGTGAGGATTAAGAGAAATCATAGAAGTCTTTCTCAGGAAAAAAAATTATCTGCTTTGTGTGTTTCTTTTTGGATGTTTACTTCTGATCTTGATACCCACGTGTTAGGATCTTGCACTTGGTAATCACAGAGATATGGGATGCACTTCGTGCTGCTGCTGAAGCTGGCATCTCTCTTGCGCAAACAATCCTGGAAGCGCAGGAGTCATTGTTCAGAACAATGATCTCACTATCTGCTATGATGAGAGAGGTCAGACGTTCAAAGCTTTTTCCCTTGCCTCAGTGATTTTTCTTGGTGTTCCTATTTGTTATATACTCCTAACTAGTACCTGTTCTTACTCTACAGGTGCTAAGTATGAGTTGCCGAAGTATGTACTAAGCGAGCCTACCAACTTGGTGGAAAACAATTGATTAAGGATCAATACCATTTAAAAGACTAAAACAATTTCAAATTCTATTCTGTAAGGAAATTTCTATTCTATCTTCTAAAAATTTAATATTATGGGACCAGTTGATTGTAACATATACAAAAATTTGCAATCTGTAGGGAGCTATTAGGGGTTTTATAAAACTTGAGGAATTTTCATTTTAGATTTGGTGGAATTTAAATGGTTTTTGAGGATTTTGATGTGGTCTTGTTAGGGTAGTTTGAAGATTTGGGTGGAAATTTTTTGGAAATTTGAAAAAAAAAATTAATGTCTAATTTTGTAAACGATATATAGCATTGATTAGTTTTTCCACACTTTGCTTTCTAATGAAATGAGAAAGTGATATTGAACATTAATTGTGCAATGCGCAGGAAGCCTCATAGTATGTCCTTAAGTCCTTTGTCCTAATGAATCATTAAAAACCACTATCTTCCTTCTTCTTGGTCTTCTTGTCGAGACGTGAGAAGACTCCAGAGTCAATGATCTCACAAATATCTGAAGAGCTTGCTACATTTCTGTATAAAGAACCTTCTCCAAGAACCAAGCATTTTCATGGATTCCCCAGCTCTTATTTCATGCAATTTCATTGCCTTATTAAGTAAGTTCTTTTCTTATATTCTGTTGACTTTGAGTTCTGTAGAACAAAGTTAAAGTACTTGAAATGAAAATAAAAGAAGCAATTTTTGAGTTTCTGGGTTTTCAAGTTTTTGAATTTAGATAAAAGATTGTTTTTTGATTAAAAAAAAAGATAAAAGATTGTTTAAGATTCGGTTAATGTTATTAACTAAACCCAAGATCAAGATTAACAATTTGATTCGGGTCCCAAACATTCTATATGAAAATATTGGAAAAAGTCCTCTCCTCTAGAGATATCAAGATGCTTTTTGTTTTGTTTTGTTAGTGGCTGCTTTGCATCTGGTTTAGTAATCTCTCTCTCTCTCTCATGTGTCTGTCTTTAAGGTTATTGAATCTCAAAATGAGTGTAAACCGGCGCAAACACGGATCTAATCTCAGATTGGTGTTGTTAGTTCTTTGGTTGGTTTGTTATGTTGGTTATTGTCAGTTTGAGAACACAAATGACTTCGACAATCCCCTCGTTACACAGATGATCTACCGTAGGCTGTTTATTAGCACTGCTGCTCTTAATCAAGAGCTCGCTACTAAAGCAAAGTTTTGCGTCAAAGACCAGTAAGCTGCCATTGCTTTGGTTTCTAGTTTTGGATACTTGTGGTATCATTTTTGCAATCAAATGTCTCGTTGTCCATTGTTTGGTTTGAATACTAAGATATTTACTACATAAAGAGGTCTTAACTTTGTATTGTTACTTTGATATCGTGAAATGTGTTGTTTTAGTTAACTAAATGTCTTGAAGTATCCTTGTGTTGCTGTCAGGGATGCTGATTGGAAAAAATCTTTTAGTTTCTCCAACTTGGATTTCCTGTCTTCTTGCAATAACAAAACCAAAGGTAACCAACTTCTTGCTTAGTTATTATTGCTTGCTGGTTGATAGAAGATGTAAAGAGCGATGATTTGTTGATTGTATAAGAACTCCAAATCTGCTGACATAAATTTTCACATTTTTCTTTTGGTGTTTGGAAACAGGTAATATGATTAAGAGTATCTGCACAGCAGCAGAGATGAGGTTCTACTTAAATGGTTTCCTCTCTAAAACGGATAATAAACAGGAGTACTTGCAACCGAATGAGAATTGCAACTTGACATCATGGGTCTCTGGTTGTGAGCCTGGCTGGTCCTGCAGCGTGGATCATCTAACCGAACAAGAAGTTGATCTGCAATCGAAAAAAGACTTTCCACAAAGAACAAGAAACGGTATGCCTTGCTGCGAGGGCTTCTTCTGCCCCAGGGGACTCACTTGTATGATACGTAAGCAAAATTCAAAACTACTCTTATTTTTCCATTGATATCTCTAAAGCTTCTCTTAATATATTTATCATATGGTCTAAAGTTGCTCTTCTGTATTGTCAAAGCTTGCCCTCTTGGTTCTCATTGCCCCTTAGCTACCCTTAATACGACAACAGGCGTATGCGAACCGTGAGTTTTTACTTCTTTTTTTTTTTTTTTAAATAGATATTTTAATATGAAACATGTTATGCTATTGTGGGATAAGATGTTGAAATCTATATAGGTATACTTATCAGGTACCACCAGGACAACCAAACCACACTTGTGGAGGTGCAGATGTATGGGCTGATGTCAGTAGCAACGACGAAGTATTCTGTTCCGCGGGATATTATTGTCCAACCACCACTCGGAAAGTACCTTGTGGTAAAGGGTAATTCAACCTTTGTCCCCTTCAAACTCCCCACTAAATTGTGACAAAATAATCATCAAACTTTTGGTTTTATTACCAATGCTCTAAGTAACTATACTCTTATGTATGTATGATTCAGGCACTACTGTCGCTTGGGGTCTACATCTGAGAAACGTAAGTCTTTCGAATTTATCGATTTAACATGCCTTGTCTCTTCATGTTTATTAACTACTTATTTGTCTTCCAGCTTGCTATAAGTTGACTTCTTGCAATGCCGGAAATCAGAACATGCATGCACTTGGGATTATGGTTATTGTAAGTTTTTTTTATTCAGTTATATTATTGTCAATATCCAAAAGATTATTGACAAAAGAAAGTGGCTTTTCAATGTGTTTTGTGCAGTGTGGTGTGGTTATAATTCTACTCATTATATACAACTGTTCTGATCAAATCTTAACAACGAGGGAGAGGAGGCAGGCGAAGTCAAGGGAAGCAGCTGTGAAAAAAGCAAAAGCCAACCAGAGATGGAAAGTTGCTAGAACTGCTGCTAAAAAGCATGTAACTGAGACCAATGATGGGGAAACTCACAAGATGTTGGAACGTGGGTACTCTTCTGAGGTGGACTCGTCTTCAAGTCCTGCGAGTTTCTCAGCTGCTGTGCAACCTAGCTTTGAAATAGAGGATGATGCAGCTGCCGGAAGTAACGAAAGACCAAGTGGTAAGAGAGGTAAAGGACATAGAATCAAGAATTCACAGACCCAAATCTTGAGGTATGCGTATAATCAGATCGAGAAGGAGAAAGCCATGGAGCTAGAGAATAGAGACCCTACCTTTTCAGGAATAGTCAACATGGCTACTTACTCTGAGATGAAGAAGAGGACCCTCATGGAGCTTTCTTTCCAAGATTTAACTCTCACCTTGAAATCCAATGGTAAGCATCTGTTGAGATGTGTGACGGGAACCATGAAGCCAGGTCGAATCACGGCTGTGATGGGTCCATCAGGAGCAGGGAAGACAAGTCTTCTCTCTGCATTGGCTGGTAAAGCCGTTGGATGCAACTTGAGTGGTTTGATTCTTATAAACGGAAAACAATTATCAATCCACTCATATAAGAAGATTATTGGCTTTGTGCCACAAGATGACATTGTCCATGGAAACTTGACTGTTGAGGAAAACATTTGGTTCCATGCTAAATGCAGATTACCTGCGGAACAATCAAAAGCTGACAAAGTTCTTGTGGTTGAGAGAGTCATTGACTCTTTGGGGCTACAAGCTGTGAGGAGTTCTTTAGTTGGTACTGTAGAGANCAAAAGCTGACAAAGTTCTTGTGGTTGAGAGAGTCATTGACTCTTTGGGGCTACAAGCTGTGAGGAGTTCTTTAGTTGGTACTGTAGAGAAGAGGGGAATCTCAGGAGGGCAGAGGAAACGAGTGAATGTTGGTTTGGAAATGGCAATGGAGCCTTCAATCTTGTTCTTGGACGAGCCTACTTCTGGCTTGGATAGTGCTTCTTCTCAGCTTCTTCTTAAAGCACTAAAGCATGAAGCCCTTGAGGGAGTCAATATCTGCATGGTTGTTCACCAGCCAAGGTAATCACAATCCATACATAATTCTGCTTGTTCGCGTAGTTCGTTTCAACATAAATCTTACCAAATTAACCTGAAAGAAGTTCGGTTCGATTTCAGTTTTCAAAAATCCTACGGTTTTTTTTCTTCTATTTCAGTTATAATTTGGTTTAATTATGTTAAATTTTGGATAAGTTTGGTTCATTTCAGTTGCATTCGGTTTCGTTTGGTTTAAAATTTAGTTAATTTGGTTAATTTGGTTTGGGTTTTTGGTATGGTTTGTTAGTTTTTTTTGTTTCTTTAAAGAAAACCGAAGTAACCGATTTCCAAACCAAACTAAACTTTTTTTAAAAACCTATTCGGTTCGGCGGGTTCGGTTAAAAATCCCAGCCCTGATTGAAACATGTCTAGAGGAAATGTCGTTTTTAGTGTCATGAAGCTTTCTAAGTTCATAATATATCTGTATTGCAGTTATTCTCTGTTCAAAACGTTCAATGATCTAGTACTTCTAGCGAAAGGCGGCCTTACTGTTTACCACGGACCAGTCGAGAACGTGGAGGAATACTTCTCGCGTCTTGGAATAATTGTACCAGAACGTATCAACCCTCCTGACTACTACATAGACGTTTTGGAAGGAGTTGTGACTGATATAAACTCTGATGTTGGCATCAAAGAGCTTCCTCAAAGGTGGATGCTTCACAGAGGGTACTCGGTTCCATTAGATATGCGGAATAACGACAACAGTGCTGTTGAGGGACCGACATTTGTCAGAGAGCTGTTGGGAGATGTAACGAGTAACTTCAGGTTGCGTGGTGAAAAAATAAGGCATAATTTCTTGAAGACCAGAGATTTGTCCTACAGAAGAACCCCTTCTATGTGGCTGCAATACAAATATTTCCTTGGAAGGTATTTTATTTCTTAATCTCCAGGACACTATCTTAAGAGAAAGCTAAATGTTTTTGATTTTACAGGATTGCTAAGCAGAGAATGAGAGAAGCTAAGTTACAAGCCACAGATTACTTGATCTTATTGCTAGCTGGAGCTTGTTTAGGATCACTGATCAAAAAAAGTGATGAGAACTTTGGATCACCTGGTTATGTCTACAGTATTATCGCCGTTTGTAAGTTGGAAACTTTTCTTCATTCTTCATTCAAGTCTTATTAACAAGTTTACTCATTCATTATTATTGGTCTTTTGTTTTACTTTTTATCTTCTTCATATGTCAGCTCTTCTGTGCAAAATAGCAGCATTAAGATCATTCTCACTAGACAAGTTACATTACTGGAGAGAGAGTGCGGCGGGGATGAGTAGCTTGGCTTGTTTCCTCGCCAAAGACACAATAGACTGTTTCAACACACTTGTCAAGCCATTGGTTTATCTCTCCATGTTTTACTTCTTCACTAACCCGAGATCGACGTTTTTGGATAACTATATCGTCTTGGTATGCCTGGTATATTGTGTGACTGGTATAGCTTATGCGTTGGCTATCTTCCTCCAGCCTGGCTCCGCTCAGCTGGTGAGTTTTCACTTCTGTTTCCCTTGCAAAGAGAAAGAACCATCCTCTCTGTCTTATTGGTCTAAGTTGACAAAAACATGTTGGTGTCTTTTGCAGTTTTCTGTTCTTCTTCCAGTAGTTTTAACACTTGTTGCAACTCAACCAAAGGATAGTGAAGCTATGAAGATCATAGCTGATTTGTGTTATCCAAAGTGGGCTTTGCAAGCATTTGTTATTGGAAATGCGGAAAAGTAAGGCCATACTCTTCTAACAGCCTGAAAAAAACTCGGTTTTATTCATATATCATCTGTCTTTTTTTTTTTTTTTTTGCTTATGGGGTTTCAGGTACTCTGGAGTATGGATGATCACTCGGTGTGGAGCACTTATGAAGAGTGGATACGACATTAATAAGTGGAATCTATGTATAATGATATTGCTTCTCATTGGTGTGGCCACTCGTAAGATCGCCTTTGTTGGGATGGTTATACTTCAAAAGAGGTGAAGAAATAGGTCTTTACATCAAGCTTGGAGGTAGGTAGAGATAGACTTTCATGGTTCTGCGTTTTAGTTATATTCGACCAAGATAATATTTAGCTTTCTTGTGTTTATAAGATATAAAAACCATATATCACAAGATCAATGTGATTGATATCATTATGCTACATGATTGCTCTCATTACTCATTGTATATTTCCATTACCATATTTGTACATACATCCTCATCTTGTATAAGAACAGACCTTTCGTCTATGTAAATAAACATCTTCCATATTCAATATGGTATTAGAGCTACACATCTAAATAATTTCTTTTCTTTCTTTTTCCATGTCTTTCTTTCTCCCCACACAAAATCTCTCTGTTCTTAGATTTTGAATACAATGGCAGAAAACACTTCTCTGCTGAGACCATCACAGTCTACAACACTAGAGATCCATCAACGACTTTCCTATCGGTGAATATGTCACAGCTAATGCTGCCGCTCATTGTCCAAAACAAAACGAACAAAAACAACTGGCGCCATCAGAACACTCGACACAACAACAACTCCAACGTTTATCAGCACAACAACAATCAGAATCGCCCATCTCGTCCATATCTTGGACGTTGCCAAACGTGTGGAGTTCAAGGTCACAGCGCGAAGATCTGTCCAAAGTTTAAGATTGTTCGAGGCTCAAATGGACCTCAGTGGCAGTCTCCAACTACACAAAATAACTAGAGACCATCTGCTCCACCTCAACAGCCCTGGCTTCCAACCACAAATGCTGCAATGGTCACATGAGACTCATCTACTTGGCTTCTCGACTCTGGTGCCTTTGAAATAGATACGACCGAGGTACCTTCGGAAACTGAATGAAAAAGAAAATTTGTTCAGAAAACAAACGGTTCTGAACGAAAAGCCATAACATTTAGAAAGAAGGACAGAACCGACTCACTATCTAAACCCGCAGCTGGGATAGGATCTAGAAAAGAGGCTCCGTATCTTTCAGGGAACCTGGCTGCTCCTATGCGCGA